GCAAAGAACTGCACATGCTAATTAGGAACAAAATGTCATCTCACAAGAAAACCACCTGCCATATGGAAGGTTGTGCTATAAAGCAACATCTATAGCGTTAATGCAAATTTAGCTGTCTTGAAAATAGAAGCTGAGGGATAGCTGGCACAGTTGAATAGCTATAGCTTATAGCTGAATTAGCAGTTCAGCTAGAGAATCTACGTTATGGGAAGTCTGTGACAGAACAGCAAACTGCAGCCAGACCTCCCAGTTTATGGGCAGGGGCTCTGTGTCCTAGCCTAGCTTTCCTCACCTTGAAAAACCTGCTGCTTTCTTCTGTTGGTTTATGCTTGTGAAATGAGGTATAAAAACACCTCCTCCAAAGCTGAAAAACTTATTTTTTTTTCTGCAAACACCAATTAAGATTGGAGCTTTGCCTTTGCTTCCGTGGGAGCAGATCTGGGCCCTAGGGACCTAAGCTGTCAGGGAGTGAACATTATGATCTAATAGCAGCATGCGCTGGAGCTGAGATGCCCAAGGCAGGAGGCCAAATGCTGTTAAGCACCAAGGTGTGTCACCGTTACATTACACACATCCTGCTATAACTTACAGCAGTTTTAGACCTCTAATCTTGAAAAATATGCAACATGAGGAGTATTTCTAAGGTGAAGAAATCTACTAGATTTGTCAGCTTAAATCAGGTAAGTATCACAATTAAAAACAACAAAAAATGCTCCCTATAGCAGAAAAATAGTAATAATAAACTGATGGAATTTTCAGATTTTGTTACCGGCCTCTTTCTGTATATAGGTACAACATTGATATAGCCTGGTATGTCCTCAACAGCCAATAGAAACTTGCACTCTCCTTTAGGCACAACTGCCAGTCCAGAGATTAGCGGGAGCTCAGGCTCTCTCTGCCTCCCTTTCCTTGAGCTGAATGTACACAGGATGCTGTTATCCATCAATTCCACCCTTAGGAGTTTTTCTTTTTTTTCTGTTGCCTCTGTAACTGAAATAACAAGTCTTCCTTGGAATATGGTACATTTTGCTTGTAAGACTAAAATGCTTATTTTATACTCTCAGCAGCAGTGCACACAGGTAGGGCTAAGCTTACTCATAACACCCTTTCCCAAAGACAGTAAAATCAAAGATAAGCAAAACAGTAAATTGCCTTTAGATGAAGCTGCAGCAATTTCAAGGGTTGAATCTGCAGTTAGCAGGACACTGTCTTCCTCCATTCTGCTAGACTTTTCCAGTCCCTCAAATAGAACTAAAAAGATATAACTGAGAATCCTACTCTGCTCACAGCTCTCTGTTTCATGAGGCCTATGATTACTATAAATCATGGACACTCAGGCTCTGTCTAGACTGCTAAACAAACCAGGTGCCATGGTTTGGAGTACCATCCATACTACATGGTACTCACTGTCTGGCCTCATCTGAGATCCATGCAGTTCCCTTCAGGCCTGAAGACAGTTTTTTGGGCATTTTTTTTCTTCAATTCAACCTGCATGAAACAAGGAGAGCTACACTGCAGACCAGTAGCATGTAGTTCTCATAGGATGAGAAGAAAGTTATATACTGCCTATTCTGGAACACAAAACAATGACAGATGGGAAGATCACAGAATCACAGAATGGTTGAGGTTGGAAGGGACCTCTAGAGATCACCTAGTCCAACTCTCCTGCTCCAGCAGGGACACCTAGAGCACGTGGCACAGGGTGGCATCCAGGTGGGTTTGGAAGATCTCCAGAGAAGGAGACTCCACAACCTCTCTGGGCAGCCTGTTCCAGGGCTCTGTCACCCTCACAGGAAAGAAGTTCTTCCTCACATGGAGATGGAACTTCCTGTGTTTCAAGTTGCACCCATTACCCCCTTGTCCCATCAGATCAGAGGTTGCAAAGCTTGTTGCATAGGACTGCAAAACTGTGTAGGCTGGAGAGCGTAAACCTGTTGCCCCCGCAGCCCCGTTGCCACCGAGACTGGGCTGTGACTGTGTCCTGCCCCCCCACCACGTGCAGCCCTGTGTGGGCATCACCAGCAGCTCGGATCCCAACTGTGGAGCCCAGGAACGAGCACTATCCTCATGCGGACTCGCTCCTGGGCTGCGCTCAGTTCACAGTGCTGACCTGGGTTTCCAGTCCCAGAATATCTTGGTTCTGTGCTGAATCTGGAATAGAGGCTGTTCTTTATTTAGGATTTGACTATATGGTTTCAACCACCAAGAGGTATGTGAAAAGATAACGCTCCACACCCCTGCAAATATATGCCCATGATCAACTTACTTTATATGTATGGTTTAACTGAAAAAAATAACATTAATATTATTTACTTGCTTGTTAATAGGACCGACCTATGAAGATATTCAAATTGGGAAAAGCTCTCCCAAAACTAATGCAAATAAGTTTTTAACACTACCATTATGAGGTTTAAAAATGTTTCCAGGGTTCACAGATTTATTTCCAAACTTATTAGCTGAATGAGAAGAGCAGTGAGAGAGAACTGCAAGTATCACAGAGGCTTATATTAACTAATTAGAAAATGAGATAAAAATCAATGCACTGTTACATACACTATCACTTGGATTCAAGAAAAGCTTCTTCTGAACAATGTTTCTACCAGACAGGACTTTTTTTTTTCTCTACTTCAGAATAAGCTTACTTTTCTTTTCTTTTTTTTTTTTTTTTTTCCCACAAACATCATTCAAGAGACCCTGCTGAGTAAGAACTGAGTTTAAATGTACTTCACTGCAATCTTATCCCTGACTTTCTTTATGCTATAACCTAAACACTCCCGGTTATTTCAGACTGGCTCAATAAAGGTTGTTTATTAGAAATCTCTGCTTTATTTTTTTCCTCTGACTGAATTAAAATAAAAATGCCTCAGGAAGTATGGCTGATCAGAAATCTGGAAAATGGCGCTTTTAAAAGAGTCCAAGCAATATTTTTCTCAGAAAATTGCCACTGACTTTGCATCTTTTCAAAGAAAGTTTAAAGGTTACACAAAAGTGAAAATCCGTTTGGAATTCTGACTTACTGTTCTGGCTGATTGAAACCCACAGGAACCACGTTTTGCCAGCAGAATGAAAACAACAACCCTACTAATCTTTCAAGCTCCTTTTGATTTGTACCTGCAAGAGCAAATCTCACATGCAATTAATTTTATGGTACTCTCTAAAATCTGGAAGGCCTAATGACAAAGCAGAGTGATAACTAACTCATCTCCAGAGGGTTAAGCCTATAGTGTCAGACTACAGCTTTTATTTTTTTCCAGGAAAAAAAAAAAGTTCTAATTTCAAATATCTCAGTGTCATTATTTTAACATTGTTGTAATCATCATTATTATTTTTAATAATAACTATATGCTCCTACTCATCTATGGTAACACAGAAATTTATAATGCCTGCATAGTTTCTAAATATTTGCCTTTGACACATGACATCTTGCCTTGAGCAAAAGTACAAAAATAAAGCTGGGGAAGAAGATGATGAAAAGTAAGCAACAAACCAATATAGGTTTTAGATAAGTCACTCACTCACAAGTGTTGCCATATTAGCATTATTCTGTCCTCTGGAACTTCCCGGTCCATGGAATGCAGTGTTAATTTTAAAACACATTATTTTAAAAACACAGATGCAGGAGTTACTCTAATAACTTGTTCGACATATTTTCTTGCAGCTAATGCAGCTTATGATTCTTTTGAATTTGAAAAACTCATTGTCCCTCTCCAAGTCTGCAATGCTGCCTGGGATCCTGCCCTGTAACAAACAGACCTTTTATGAGCAGGACTTGACCAGTGCACCCTCAACTACTTCTACTCTTTTTGCTTTGTTTTGCTTTTCTCTCCTTTTCAAGAAAGGCACTAAAACAGAATTCCCTTACAGTAGGTGCAGTATTTCACTAGACAGCAAGATGCCACCTGTAATATGGAAATATTTCAGTGTCATTTCGGCTTCACGGGCTGCTGCTGAAATCCCCGCTACTCAAATCCCTCACAACGCTGCTTTTTCTCCCTGCACGTTACAGACTCCTGTTTATGCACTGGTCGTTGTGTTTCCCGACGTGACATGGCAGTCTGTAGCAAACGCCGACTTGTGCCTCGCTTTCTGCTTCTGCAGGGGATGGGTCCAGATGTAACCATGGCAATTCCTTCTCCAGCTGCTCCTGACGCAAGCAGAAGCAGCAACATGCTGGACACAAAGACTTACTGCATTTTCCTTCTTGCCCTTTCTGTATTTCCTAAGCAGGTTATTAGCAGTATTTTTAACAGTTTAATTGTCTGAATCATCCCATAGCTCTGTGAAATCCCAGGGAAGTAGAATTTATGCTTTAATGGACCAGTTTTAGTTCTTGTTTTTACCAAACTTCCTCAGGTGGGTGCACAGGCAATTAATACTTTTTGATTCCCTTTACATTTGGCATTTTTGTTCTTGCCAAACCGTTCTTCTGTAAAATGTGTGTTCGTTTTTCTCATCCTGGTGAGAAGTAGCCAAGCCTACGATTTTGATTCCCTTTACATTTGGCATTTTCGTTCTTGCCAAACTGTTCTGTAAAATGTATGTTCGTTTTTCTCATCCTGGTGAGAACTAGCCAAGCCTACGGCGCCCTCAGGACACGATACTTTCCACATCGCACAGGTGGCTTCCAGTTTCTTATTTCAGTCATCACGGCCTGTTTGGTTATTAAGCTCGTATGTCCTCACAGATGTAGCCTGGGAACTCATTCCCAGTCCCGCTAAGCTGGAGCCGGCAGCAGGTCGCCGGACGCGGGTCACTGCCGGAGCGATGCTCACTCCGCTCTGGAAACTTGGCTTCACTGGTTCTTGGGGAACCTTGAAGAACCTTCACTGGTTCTTGGGGAGCAGCACAGCTCCTGCTCTCTGCT